GCTGTGGCCCCTCAGGACACAGCACAGCCCTTCCTCCAGGGCCCACCAACAGCCTGCAGGTGGGCTACTGAAGCCTGGGGTACTCAGGACTTTGCACAGTAGGCGGTTCCTATCTGCTAGCCCGCCCATGCTCTGGCCTCCTGGCGAGCACCAGCTGCCCCATGGCCCCTCATGACACTGCATGCACATCCTTCCTCCAACATTCATGTCCCCTAGAGGGCGGTCGTGTCCACACATGGCCTCAGCATCCCGAGAGGCAGAGGCTGTGGCATTCATGCTCCGGGTATTCACTCACCTTCCCACAGCTCAGCAGGATGATCCGCACCAGCACCACGTTGATGTGGGCCCCCAAAGACTCATCGTGGTAGATTTCATTGACCTGAAAGACAAGCAGCTTGTGGTCAGCAGTGCCCCGCGAGCATTGCCCTTCTGGGACCACCCCTTATATCTCCTTCCATACACCCCTCTCCTGCTTGCTGCCCTGGATGTCCCCAGAGTCACTCTCAGGCCCAGCCCCTGGAATTCTTCACCCGGAGCAAAAGCCTAGACAAGGAATCAATCCCTGTATTGGCTGTTTGAATTGCATCTTTCCTTCAAAACCTGGCAGCCCAGGTGGTGTGGCCCCGCCCCCAGCAGACAACACTGCATGGCTACTGCTGTTGGCAGCTGTGGTGTCCCCACTTGGGTGGGGACAGAGCCTCTGCCAGGTCTTAGTGTCTCCTGAGTTACTAAGGACAGACATCCCAGGCAACACCATCACCCCTGGGTGTCTACGGTTGAGAGGGCTCCCAGAATCCAAATCCACCAACACTCACATTGCATATAAAATGTATGTGTTCTTTGCATGAAACCCACATACTTCATTTATTTTCTTTTTAAGATTGATTTATTTATTGGAAAGTCAGATATACAGAAAGGAGGAGAGACAGAGAGGAAGATCTTCTGTCTGATGATCCACTCCCCAAGTGAGTGCAAAGGCCGATGCTATGCCAATCTGAAGCCAGGATCCAGGAACTTCTTCTGGGTATCCCACATAGGTGCAAGATCCCAAGGCTTTGGGCCATCCTCAACTGCCTTCCCAGGACACGAGCAGAGAGCTGGATGGGAAGTGGAGCTGCCGGGATTAGAACCGGCACCCATATGGGATCCTGGGGCGTTCAAGGCTAGGACTTTAGCTGCTAGACCACGCCGCCGGGACCCATCTATTTTTTTTTTAAGAGTTATTTATTTTTCTATGTGAGGCAGAGTTAGAGAGAAGGAAAGACAGAGATCTCTCAACTGATGGTTGACTCCCTAAATGGCTGTAATGGCTGGAGCTGGGCTGGTCCAAGCTGGCAGTCAGTAGCCCCCTTATGGGTCTCCCAGGCAGGTGCAGGGGCCAAGGACTTGAACCATCCTCTGTTGCTTTCCCAGGTGCATTAACAGGAAGCTGGGTCAGAAGTGGAACAGCTAAACTGGAGTCCATACGGGATGCTGGCACTGCAGGCAGAGGCTTAACCTGATTTGCCATGGCACCAGTCCCCACCCTAAACTTTAAATCCAGCTCCAGAATGACTAGCAATACCTGCTACAATGGCCTGGGCAACCTGTAGGTAACTGCTGTGCTGTATTGTATCATCAAGGGAATGAGGACAAAGCAAAGGTCTGTACAAAATGTGCAGTTCAGAGGCAACTGTTCTGAACTCTTTTTTAGGGGCCAGTGCTGTGGCATAGTAAAGCAAGCCTCTGCCTGTGGCACCGGCATCCTGTATTGACACCAGCTCCGCTTCCAATGCAGCTATCTGCTTATGGCCTGGGAAAGCAATAAAGCATGACCCAAGTCCGTGGGCCCCTGCATCCATATGGGAGACCCAGAAGACGCTCCTGGCTCCTAATCAGCTCAGCTCAGCTCTGGCCACTGCAGTCATGTAAAGAGTAAACCAGCAAATGGAATACCTCTCTCTGTCTGTCCTTCTTTCTATGTAATTCTGCTTTCCAAATAAAAATAAACTTTTTTTTTTTTATTGTTGCTTACACTGTATTATGTAGTACAGTTTTATAGGCGCTGGGGATTCCCCCCACCCCTCCCCATACCCCTCCCCCCATGGTGGATTCCTCCACCCTGCTGCATAACCATAGTTCAAGTTCAGTTGAGATTCATTGCTTGCAAACACATGCCTAGCATAAAGTTCAGCGTCTTATTGTCCAGATAAGTTCAGTGGCCTCCTGGGGAGACCTTCTATGGTCCGAAGATAGGTCTAACAGAGTAAAGATCCGGTAGGTTAAAAGCCCCAACAAGGCCTCAGTATCAATATACAACATTATGGAATTAATTGACATAGTACTGGGTAAACAATATGTTAAAAATAACGCAAGTTCCATTCTTCGAAACATCTGGGTTGAGACAGCATCAATGACACGTTCAAAAAATAACAAACAACCAAACAAAAAATTACAGGTTAAATCAAGGCAAACATGTGGTATCTAATCTTCTGGGATTCGCTCATTCCCCCTAGCATTATAGTTTCCAGTTGTGCCCATTTAGCCACAAAGAACTGCATTTTGTTTTTTTTAATAGCTGAGTAGTATTCCATGGAGTAGATGAACCAAAGCTTTCTTATCCAATCTTCTATTGATGGGCATCTCGGTTGCTTCCATGCTTCTGCAATTACTGACTGGGTTTATTTAATTCTGCAGTTGCCTCCGGACTGAGTTTTGGTAAATGGTGGGAGTCCAAGAACTTTTCTATTTCTAAACCCATAACCGAGGTAGAGATTGAAACAGTCATCAAGGATCTCCCAACGAAAAAAAGCCCAGGCCCAGACGGCTTCACTACAGAATTCTACAAAACATTCCGAACAGAACTAACCCCAATCCTCTACAAGCTCTTCAAAACAATAGAGGAGGAAGCAACCCTCCCAAACTCATTCTATGAAGCCAACATCACCTTAATCCCAAAACCGGATAGAGAACCATCAGAGAAGGAAAACTACAGACCTATTTCTCTGATGAACATTGATGCTAAAATTCTCAACAAAATCCTAGCCAATAGAATTCAAAAAATCATCAGACAGATCATTCATCCGGATCAAGTAGGATTCATCCCTGGAAGGCAGGGATGGTTCAACATTCGGAAATCCATAAATGTTATAAACCATATCCAAAAACTGCAAAACAAGAACCACATAATAGTTTCAATAGATGCAGAAAAAGCTTTCGACAAAATCCAACACCTCTTCATGCTAAAAACTCTAGCCAAAGTAGGCATAGATGGGAAAATCCACAACATAATTAAAGCAATTTATGAAAAACCCAACGCCAGTATCATACTGAATGGAGAAAAGCTAGAACCCTTCCCACTGAGATCTGGAACAAGACAAGGGTGCCCACTATCACCACTGCTATTCAACATAGTCCTAGAGGTACTTGCAGAGGCCATAAGACAAGAAAAAGAAACCAAAGGCATACGTATAGGAAACGAAGAAGTCAAGCTTTCACTATATGCAGATGACATAATCCTATACATAGAAAAACCAGGAGACTCAATACAGAAACTGCTAGAACTTATACGAGAGTTTGGCAGAGTGGCGGGGTACAAAATTAACGAACGAAAATCAACAGCCATAGTGTACGCAAATAACACCAAGATGGAAGAAGATCTAACCAACAGGATACCATTCAAAATAGCAGAGAGAAGTATGAAGTATTTGGGAATAAATCTAACCAAAAGTGTAGGAGACCTATTTGAAGAAAACTACAAACCATTTAAAAAGGAAATTGAACAAAACCTCAAAAGATGGAATAACATCCCGTGCTCCTGGATAGGCAAAATCAATATCATTAAAATGTCTATACTATCACAAGCAATATACATTTTCAATGCAATTCCAATCAAATTGCCCAAAACATTCTTCATGGAACTGGATACAATGATTCAAAAGTTCATCTGGAAACACAAAAAACCACGAATAGCTAGAACCATCCTGAAAAATAAGAAGTTAGCAGGGGAATCACAATCCCGGACCTCTGGACATACTATAGAGCAGTGGTTATCAAAACAGCCTGGTACTGGCACAAAGACAGAAAGGAAGATCAATGGAATAGAATAGAAGCACCAAAAGGGAACCCACACAGATACAGCCAATTATCTTTGACAAAAAGACCAATGACAGCTTAAGCAAGTGGGAAGGCCTCTTTAGTAAATGTTGTTGGGACAACTGGCTGATAGCCTGTAGAAACAAAAAGATAGACCCACATCTATCACCATACACTAAGATCCAATCTACATGGATAAAAGACCTAAACCTACATCCAGAAACCTTCAAACTCTTGCAAGAAAATGTAGGAAATACCCTGCAAGACCTAGGAGTAGGTACCGACTTTCTAAGAAGGACACCAAAAGCAATAGCAGTTGAGAACAGAATAAACAAATGGGACCTCATCAAACTAAGAAGCTTCTGTACAGCAAGGGAAACCATCAACAAAGTAAAAAAGCAACCCACAGAGTGGGAGAAGATCTTTGCACACGATATAGGCGATAGGGGCTAATTTCCAGGATATACAAAGAACTTCAAAACAACCAAAAAACCAAAACAAACAAGCCACTCAAGAAATGGGCACGGGAAATGGGCAAACATTTCACAAAGGAACAAGTCCAAATGGCAAACAAACATATGAAAAAATGTTCCAGCTCCCTAGCAATAAGGGAAATCCAAATTAAAACATCGATGAGGTACCACCTAACACCAGTAAGATTGGCCCACATAAACAAGAACACCAAAGATGCTTGCTGGCGAGGATGCGGGGAAAAGGGAACCCTACTCCACTGCTGGTGGAGCTGCAAATTGGTACAGCCTTTATGGAAATCAGTCTGGAGAACACTCAAACAACTCAAAATCTGCATACCATATTACCCAGCAATAGCACTCCTAGGAATATACCCAAAACACCTGTTTTACGACAAACCAACATGCATCCCTATGTTCATTGCAGCACAATCAGTAATTGCGAAAACATGGAAGCAACTGAAATGCCCATCAGCAGAAGATTGGATAAGAAAGCTTTGGTTCATCTACTCCATGGAATACTACTCAGCTATTAAAAAAAACAAAATGCAGTTCTTTGTGGCTAAATGGGCCCAACTGGAAACTATAATGCTAAGGGAAATGAGCGAATCCCAAAATTAGATACCACATGTTTGCCTTGATTTAACCTGTAATTTTTTGTTTGGTTGTTTGTTATTTTTTGAACCTGTCATTGATACTGTCTCAACCCAGATGTTTCGAAGAATGGAACTTGCATTATTTTTAACATATTGTTTACCCAATACTATGTCAATTAATTCCATAATGTTGTATAATGATACTGAGGCCTTGTTGGGGCTTTTAACTGACTGGATCTTTACTCTATTAGACCTATCTTCAGACCATAGAAGGTCTCCCCAAGAGGCCACTGAACTTATCTGGACAATAAGACGCTGAACTTTATGCTAGGCATGTGTTTGCAAGCAATGAATCTCAACTGAACTTGAACTATGGTTATGCAACAAGGTGGAGGAATCCACCATGGGGGGAGGGGTATGGGGAGGGGTGGGGGGGATCCCCAGCGCCTATAAAACTGTACTACATAATATAATGTAAGCAACAATAAAAAAAAATACACACAAAAAATACATACATACATATACACCCTGGAACAAATTTAAGGATGAAAAGAGATTTGCAACGAAAATTAAGAAAACACTGAAGAAAAACCTGAAGATACCCAACAACAAAATGAAAACAATGCCAAAGAAAGAAAGAAAGAAAGGAAGGAAGGAAGGGAAAATCCGTGTATAATCACTCTGTCCCAGGGTCTGCACTGGCAGCAAGTCTGACTCAAGAGATGAAGCCAGCATGCAAACAGTCACTCTGATGTAGGAAGGGAGGTCACTATGTTAGCCACCATGCTAAGTGCTGGCTCCCTAAATCGCATTTTTTTTAATGGTGATGTTTACAGGGTTGATTGGGGGTGGGAAGGATTGAGGGTTAGGGGAAAGTGGGTGAGATCATTGTTTGCAAGTTTCCTTTTCTTCCTCCTGTCTCTGGGGGCAAGGGAGGAGATGAGAAGAGAAGCTGCACTCAGCCTTCCAACTGCCTCAGTACCTGGGGTGGGGAATGGCCACCCAATATCATACCAGGGTCCCAATGGGAAGTATGCTCTGAAGGTTGTGCTCAAGTGGTTTCAATAGTTTTGAAATGCTGTTAGTTTTGTTGCCTCAAGGATGAGGAAATCCATCCAAGGACCACTGGCTGACACAGTCCACCTTAGAGTTTCCATTCGCCCAGATATATGCTGTCAACACTTGGCTGGGCTAGTTGTCCAATTTGTTTCACCTCCTTCCTCTGCTGTGGTAGCAGATGTCCACTGCACTTCCCAGTGGACTGGCATATCCTCCATGTGTATCTGGGTATGCCATCCACTACTCTGCCTTAGCTATTGTGGAGGCCCACTTCTGATACTTGCACTCCACAGTCAGTCCACTGGTCCTAGGATTCAACACACGGTTGGAATTCGGAGTGCAGTGGTTCAGTTGGGTGAATCCCACAGAAACTTCGTCTCTGCTGAACCCAGGCCTGACTCTTGTGTGTGCTTGCCAGTACAGGGTCTGGCTTAGTCTGACAACACATCAGGCTGCGCTGGGTCAGTTCTGTGTCAAGCCCATCTCTTACACAAATGAATGGATGCTTCATCCAGCCCAACACAGCCCACTACACATTTGATCCTCAAACATACCAGCAGGAACTGTAGCCTAGTCAGAGTGACCCCCCAAAACAACCATCAATGTAATTCTCAGTATGTGCAGCAGACTGCTCCTGTCTGACACCATCCCATTCAGCTCTTGTATACATCAATGGGCCTTTTAGCCTAGTTCAACCCAACAAACACTGTTATCAGCCCACATTCATTCCAGTAGATGCCACTGCTTGGCCAGACAGTCCCACCTGCAGCCCTGCTTCTCATGCTTACCCGTGGGAGTCACAGCTCATTAGAGAGGAGCCCACAGTTTCCCTACTGGGAGATCTTGCACTCTCCTGGTGGTTCTGCAGTCTAGCTTGACAGGAGTTGCCCCTAGTCCCAGCATTTGCCAGCCCTGACGCTGTGGCAAAGCCTGGGCAGCCTGCACTACTTCTGACTCATGCATGCACAGTGTTTATAGTCACCCAGCCTTGCTGCCTTTCCCAGCTCACATGCAGCCCTATGGGTATTGGTCTGGCCTGGTCTGCCCTCAGTCCCAGTTCTCACTTCCACCAGTACAAACCCCTGCTGCTACTCTATCATGCTTACCCACCTCTCCCTGGTCTCACATGTACTGGCGGGTGCTGCAGCCTGATATGGCATGGCCTGCCTCACCTTGGCATTTGTCACCTGATGCTGCAGCCTGACCTGGCATGTTTTGTGCCTAATTCCAGCTCATGCTGGTGGGAACTGCAGCCTAGCCTAGCCTAGCCAGCCCTCAGTCACAATCCTAAATGGGAACTGGCTGCTGTTACAGCCCAACTAGGCCTGTCCTGCACCCTGTCCTGGTTCTCAGATCTGCCAGTGGCTGACAAGAACGGGTCCAGCCTGGCCTGCCCCCATATCTGAGCCACAGGTATACTGGTGGGTACTGTAATCGGGCCTGGGCTGGGCTGCTCCCTGCCCTGGTTCTTGTGCTTACCTGCAGGGACTGTGTCCTGACGGAGATGTTCCCCAAGCTCCTCTATCAGGTCTCCTCCGAGTTCTTTCAGAAAAGCAGAAATTGCACCATCACACGTGTGTTCTCAAGTAGTCGGAGGTGTCCTGGCTTGAAGAAAAGATGAGACTTACAGTTAGATGATGATACATTAGGAGACCTTAAACCAACTTGAAACAGGAAAAAATTGACATAGTGGCAGACTATCCGTACTTCATGTATAATTAGATAAAAGCATAATATGCAACGGAGAAGTAAGGATAAGTTGACTTGAATTTGAAAAAGAAAATCTCAAGGAGTTACTTTGGGATGAAACCATCATCCTCACTGCTAACACTCTCCTTAGGGATCCACACAAATGAATCATTGCAACTCAGGAAATCCAATTGCATGGAGTATCTTAATGCAGCAATGAAAAACGTCCTCAGGTGAGACAAATTTAAACAACAACAAAAATCTTTCCAAAGCAGCTGGAAGATGGCCCCAGTGCTTGGGCCCCTACCACCCTCAAGGCAGACCCTGATGAAGTTCCTGACTTGGGCCTGGTCCAGCCCTGATCTTTGAGCCATTTGGGAACCACAGGGCAGCTGAAACATTTGTCTGTCTCTCCTGCTCTTCCTGCAATTTTTTTTTAATTATGTTACCTTTTTTCATTATTTTACAATATATTTCAAAAAATGACCTTACAGATGTCTTATCTGCTCTATAAGACCTGGAATAAAAGAACACTTAGAATTAGAACACAGAGACATTAAGCTGTAATACTCACTTGTACTGAACCATTACTACCAAAGGGTAAGTATTTTTTTTAAATAAGCAGATGTGTGGCTATGCAAAATAAAATACAAACTTGTTAAAACAGAACAGTAAACTTGACTTTATTGGCTATAGAAACGAGGTGGTTTTGTTTTCTTTCCTCAACACATCTGGTTCTGGCAGCAAGTCACATTATACATTTAAAGCAGTGTGAGCCCTGAAAGCTCATAGCTTCTGTTTGTGCGTATAACTTGGATCAGAGACCAGACACATGGAAAAGCACTGTTCTCAACACCCTCAACATCTCTCCTTCCAGGAGGTCACAAAGCTAACAAACTCAAGACTTTCCTTGCTGATGGTACTTAGTAATTATTTTACTCCAGTTAACACTGGATGTTTTAATATTCTCTAAAAGAGAAGTGATGAAAGCATGTAGAAACTCTCCAGGGTCCAATTTTCACTTCCCATTCCCCAAGTAGTAAAATAGCAGCTCTACATGTTATTAAAAAAAACAGAGATAATTTAAATTTCTTATTCGTTTTTAACCATAGTAACTTTACAATGCTTTTAGATTTAGTTGAATTTCCAAAATGAAAATGTCAGTTGTCAAATATTTTAGGAATTTATTAAAGTATTACATACAATTGATTTCCTTTTAGCTACCCCTCCCCCTCAAAAAAGTATATATGGTGTATGTGTGTGCATTTACTTATCTTACCTTAACTAAAGTTCTCTTTTTCTGGTTGGACATGAGAAACCAGTTTAAGCAACCAATGCTTGCTTTTATTTCTATTATAAGCAATAATTCAGATCTTTTTTCACTAAATATGACTGCAGCATTTTCATAATAAAATGCACAAAAGGCAATACCAAAAAATGCCTTCTGAACAGGCTTCTGCCAGGCAACCCACGGAAGTTAGACTCTACCAAAGTGGCACTACGACAACATAGGCATCCAGTTTCTTTTCCTTTTTTCAAATTTGTCAGTTATTTACCACAATTATTTTGTCTAGTAGGAGACAATTTCATGCTGGACTTAACTCTTAAGAGTTGACATAAACCAAAACTGGACAGCAGTCAACTGGAATCACATTCCAATGGTCTCCAAACATACTTGGCCAAAACACATCTTTTCTTTTCTTTGATTGATTTTGCATTAATTTTATTAAACGTATAGCAAATAACACTGCAAAGTTTTTCTCAGAGCTTTTTCTTAGGGGACTCTGCAATTCTTGCCAACAAGTACCTGGTGAACTTGTAGACAGCGCTGTTCCTGGCTCCCCAGCAGGTGGCGGCCCCGCGCCCTGGCCGCACGCCCGCTGCATCCCGCCGGCAGCACAGAGGCTCGCGCGGCCCGGGAGCGCTCGCCCCGCAGCTCGGGCGGCTGGCAGGCGGGCTGGCGCCGGTCGCGTCGGCCGGCAGCAGGGCCCATGTGGAAGCTCCTCCCGGCCGCGGGCCCAGCCCGAGGTAAGGACAGAGAGGGACAGAGGGCCCGGGTTCGGAGGAGCGCCAACGCGGGGAAGGAAGTCGGGGAGGGTCGCTTCCGGTCGGGTCCCCTTACCTTCCGGGGCACGGCGGAACGGGAAGGAAACCGGGGGTCTGGCACGCGCGTGGTGGTCCCGGCTGCGCCGTGGCGGGGAAGGCCGGCTGTCCTCGGCCCCGGGGTTGGGCGGGTGGACGCCCGGCCCTGTCCCGCGCTGTGCAGTGGCCGTGGGACCCCGGCGCTGTGCAGTGGGCATGGGCGGTGGGGCGGCTGGCCCTTCGCTGAGCCCTGGCTGAGGTGGCTGAGGAGAAACAGGTGCACGGAGCTTTCTGTTGTTTCAGACGCGTTTCCGTGCTGTCAGCAAGAGGGGACAGCCCAGACTTTTTCTTTTTGAAAGAGAGACCAGAATCTTGCATCTCCGAATTCACTGCCCTAGATGTGTCCAACACTGGGGCTGGTCAGGCCCAAGCCAGGAACCCCGGGATGCAAGGGCCTCAGTTGCTGTCTGTCAGAGTGCGCCTTGGCGGTGCTGGGCTGGACCCCCTGCACAAACCTGGGATGCAGGTGTCCCAGGGGAGCTGCAGCAAAAGCCAGGCCACTTCACCCCGCCCCTTTCCTGTGTGTCTGCACTTCCCTAGTGGAAGTTGCTAGTTGCCTGCCTGCTGTTTGTGGTCCTTATTGGCTGATAAAAGAAAGGGTAAGCCAGTAAAGCCATGATTACCTGTGTGCTCAGGGTGTTCAATTGTGATTGGGAAAAAAAGGGTCTCCCGAGATGCAGTGTTGACTGGCTATGTAAAGAGGTTTAAAGAAAAAAAAAATGATTTCTTTATTTCATTTGAATGAGAGCAGGAAATACAGAGAAGTCCTCCATTCTTGGGATGGCCTCCATGGCCAGAGCTGGACCAGTGCAAAGCTGGGAGCCAGAAGCTTCGTCTTGTCTCACATGTGTATATAGGGGTGCAGGAAACTTGGGCCATGCTCCACTGCTTTCCCAGCCAGAAGCAGGGAGCTGGATGGGAAGTGGAGCAGCTTGGGGTTGAACCAGTGCCCACATGCAATGCCAGCATGCAAACTGAGAATTAATATGATCTGGCCTCTGAAGGACTTTTGTAAACACCAACATAGGCATCCCTATGAACTTGCACCAGTTCAAGGCCAGACCGTAGAGATTTCAGTTTGTCTTGTGGCTCTCAGAGTTCCTGTGGATGTGTGGAAAGAAGACAGACCTGAGACAAATTGAGTTTGGCACAGCATACCTGAGGAAAGGCTTCATGAATCAAGGTGTGGCCCGAGCCAGTGGAGGCTGAGAGAGCAGTACCCAACAGTCCAGCAGACGGTAGGAGGTGACTTCCAGAAACAGCGGGATTGGTTAGTTGCAGCTCACTGTTGGCCTGGTCTGAGTGTGCAGTGAGAAGGCATTTGCCCTGCAGGACCTGGTATGAGTAGGTGACAGGCTGAGACTTAGCCATCTGTAACGGGGATAGCACTGCTAAGTGCAGACATTTGGCACTGTGTAGCAGGGCTAGCCTGGGAGTCCTGTTCAGCCTGTCTCCAGCTGTTGGCTAAAGTGCACCCTTGGCCACAGCTCAGAGTTGAGTTACTGCCACCTGTGGGCAGACCTAGCTTGAGTCCAGGGCTCAGATACCCTGGATATTTGGGCAGTGAGTCAGAACATGTATCCCTGTCCCCCAAATAAGTAAGGTAAAAATTTACAAACAAAGAATAGGGGCTGGTGTGATGGCTCAACTGGCTAATCCTCTACTGTTAGCACTGGCATCCCATATGGGCACCGGACCTTATCCCAGCTGCTCCACTGCCCATCCAGCTCCCTGCTTGTGGCCTGGGAAAGCAGTCCAGGATGACCCAAAGCCTTGGGACCCTGCACTCAATATGAGAGAACTTGAAGAAGCTCCTGTCTCTTGGTTTCAGATCGGCACAGCTCCGGTGTTGTGGCCATTTGGGGAGTGAACTAATGGATGGAAGCTCCAGTCAAGTTCATATTGGGACTTTACTTGGGATTTCAGTAAATGTATACTTTGGGAAAGCAATTCCTTTCACTGTTGTTATTCCTTGAGAGAAATGGTATGCCCTTGCATTAATGTAGGTGATCTTTTGATATTCCTCAATAAGGGTTTAATAGAAAATGGGGGTTTAATTTATGTAAAACTGATGAACATTGAAATAGCAAAGTGTTTTCTTGACACATCATGAATTTTATCCTATATAATGTACACATTTATGTATGTGTGTTTGTGTCTCATGATTTTATTCCTCTTAGAACCATACAGACTTTTGACTGGCACTGAGTACATCGTTGGAAGGAAAAACTGTGCTATTCTAATTGAAGATGATCAGTCAATCAGTCGAAATCATGCAGTGTTAACCGCTAATTTTGCTGTGACCAACTTGGTATGTTCCTGATTGTATTTTGCTAGCTTGCAGTGAGAGTTGAAATCACAGTATATTGCCTTGATGTGACAGAGAGAGAGAGCTGTTTGAGCATTTTATGCTTTTGTTTCAGTGACTTAGAAACTTGGAGAAAGTAGGTTGTATTTGTATTTGTTTACTTAACAACATTGACTGTTCCGTGGTGAGAGTTGTTGGGCTTAGCTGTGATACATTCATGATGCTCGCTCTTAAAGAGAGTATGTGACTGATGGACACAAAGTCTGGGTGTGTAAAGGGAGGCTCCGCAGTGGGAATGACGGTTTTCCCGGGGAAGACAACTGTTGCTTCTGATCCACAGCTCTTGAATGGCTTGGAAGGTATTTGTTAGCTTTCACCAGAACCACGGGTGATGAGAGTGATAAAAATATATGAATAAATACGTTCAAAATCATCATGGTAGGAACAAGAAAGTGAAAGTAAGCAGTTAGTTTGAACAAATGTGACAAATGCACAGGTGATGGATTAGTTTACTGGCATTTAGGTTTTGTGTCTATTTGTGTTGTAGAAAAGCATTATTATAGAAGTTGCAATAGAAAAAATAAAATTATTACCAAAAGTCAGAACCTCTAGGCTTTATGCCTTGTTTTCATTCGCCCAGTGTTTACCATGTGCTTTTGATAATGTAAACAAAACAAAACGAAAACGTAGGACTGAAGCTGTCATGTTATGCGTGAAGCAAACTGCTGCCAATCATAAAATTCTCAAGTGTGTGAAATGGAAGGGTTGGGAAAGTCCCAACTGATTTACAGAAATAAGGAAAAATGTGTGTTCCAAGAGTTATAATTCTGAAATTCAGAGATTTTCTTAAAGGGAGATATTTATGTTAATTGCTAATTACTCCTTTGAAGGCAGCCAGAACAGTAGCTGTCATTCCCTGTGGTGGCAGGATATGCAGCTGTTTATTATTTTACCCTTTTCAAAAGTTATCAAATGTCTCCTGTGAATCGTTTCCCCCTGGATTGTATGTGCTTGAGCTGTAAAAGACTTGTAATTACTTCTCTAATTTTCAGAGTCAAACTGATGAAATCCCTGTATTGACAATCAAAGATAATTCTAAATATGGTACCTTTGTTAATGAGGCAAAAATGCAAAATCACCTTCCCCAAACTTTGAAGACAGGGGATAGAGTCACCTTTGGAGTGTTTGAAAGTAAATTCAGGTATGGATTTGTTTATTTAATTTTTGTTGTTAAAGATTTACTTTTACATGAAAGGCAGATGAACAGAGAGAAGGAGAGACTAGGAGATCCTGCCTTCACTCCCAAGTTGCCACAACAGCCAGAGGTGGGCCAATCTGAAGCCAGGAACCAGGAGCCTCTTCTGAGTCTCCCACATAGCTGAGGAGTCCCACAACTTTGGGCTGTCCTTGACTGCCTTCTCAGGCCACAAGCAGGGAGCTGGATCCACATTTGGGAAGCTGGGGTATGAACTGTTGCCCATATAGAATCCTGGTGGAAGCTTAGTGTACCAAACCAATGGCACTGGCCCCACACTTTTTAAATTAGATTAAAGTGGACAATTTTATTTCACAACAATTGAATTTTAAAGCAAAGATAAGGATTATAAGGTGACAGTATAATTGACTTCCCGTTTAGCACAGTAGTGAACTCTGTGTTGTTGGTATATTTTGTGGATCACAGGTGGGGGGGTGACAGGTGAGTAAAAGTTTGTGTTAGTCCCTGTGAGTTGTGATAGGAGCCTCGTTTGTTTGATGCTTCATAAGTTAAAATGTAATGTTGATGTTGGCCATGTCTTTTTCTTCTTTGGGAACACAAGATTTAGGAGGTAAGAATTTCCTAAGTTACAAATTTATAATGTGTCAAAATTAAACGAATAATATGTTGTAAGCTTAAAGTTGTAAAGTATTGTAAAGTTGTAAAGTCTTTGTAACTGTGATAACGTAACTTTATTGTCATTCACAGGGTAGAGTATGAGCCTTTGGTTGCCTGTTCTTCTTGTTTAGATGTGTCTGGGAAAACTGCTCTAAATCAAGCTGTGTTGCAACTTGGAGGACTCACTGTGAACAGCTGGACAAAAGAATGTACTCACCTTGTCATGATGTCAGTGAAAGTCACCATTAAAGTAAGTTGAACTGTGTTCCCATATTAAAACAAGTTCTGGGACCTTGAGTGAACTCACCACAGCACAGAGTTAGCACCATGTGTCTCTTCTGTCAGATTGTCTTCCTCCAGTCTCTGACATTGTCTCATGGTCTCATGCTCCCTCAGTTAAGTTGTAATCACACAAAGATTTCTTTGCTGTATCTTTAAAGCCCTGAGATGTATAGATATGTACCTTCCAAAGATGCTGACTAGTCATTAAAGCAGTGATGTATTTTGGTATATTTTCAGGTTTTGCATTTTCATCAGATTTGATATATCCAAAGGTAATTGAAGAATGGCATTTAAGATGTGATTCGTTAAACAGGCTGACTGTGCAAAAGATATGTGGGATTGTTTTAGGCTGAAAAGCAACAAATACTTTGATTCCTGTGTTTGAAGATGCAAAAACTTTTTGTTATAATTAATTAAATATTAGTGTTATATTCTAATTTATACATAAATGGCTCTTATGTGTGTACATATATGTGTAT